ATTTGCCAGTCAAAACTAAAATATCTCATAGGCATACACGTGGAGTCTACACACCTAAACTTTTACAACCTCTAAATGAGGATTAATTGGTAATTTTATTACTTTTAGCTACACATTTAGCTGTCAATAATAGATCTGATGCTGTTGTATCACTCGCTAAACTAAGCTAAATTTATTTAGGATTCTTTTAACATTTTCCATAGTTACATATAACCAAACAAATTATACTCCTGAAGAAGTACTGCAATAAGTTAACTTCTTTTATTTATCCTAGTTCTCGTACCTAATTCTTTATAGGATTGAAAATGCCGTTTACAGAAATATTACAAACACTCCAGTTTATATAATATAGTTTTAAACAACAAAAATCTTTTTAAACACTCATATTCTTATAGAATTAAAACTATATTTCGAAATTTAAAAAAAAAATTGTTTTAGTCTATTTTTTTCCTTAAATCAATGCTATTCATGAATAAAAACTGCCTAGAACTCGATGTGCTCTTCTCGAATTGCCTTGCATAGAGATTCAATGAAATAAACCCTTTATTACCTTTTGAAGAAGGTTTTACTTCATTAAACCTCTTTGTAGTGACAGCGCTTTATGACAGCGGTTACAAGACAGACAGCGCTATACTCGACGTCGATTTCAACTCTGATTTTTTTACAAAAAGAACTGTTGGATCGATTGAATCCTTTGGTACTTTTGCAAAGGTTGCTCATGGGACGGGTGATCAAGGAATTATTTTCTCAAGGTCTTTTGTGCATATAGGTGTGATTTTTTATTTACCCTTAAAAAGGTCTCCATGCTTAAACTTAATTTATTTAAATTACACGTTTGCCTTTGAGTTATCGACTTACGTTATATTATAGGTGTCTCAAACTCATCCTCATCATCAGCCTATTAATATCCCCACTGCTAGGGCTTAGGCTTTCCTTACGGATGGAATCGAATCCAAGATCTATCACGCAGGCCCAGTGCGGATTAGTGGGTATTAACGACTGCAAATGCGGCTTAACTTTACTGATTGAGCATCGGTCCATCAGTCTGTGTATCAAATTAAATTGAAAACCAAGAAGTCAATCAAGTTTAATTTCAAATATTAAACCCACACCAACTGAACAACACAGGAAATTAAATAAAAACTTATAAAAAAAAGAAAACCATAACGTTCGACCCGTTACTTCAAAGAGTTCAAATATAATAGATGGTGAACCGTCATACAACCACCAGATAACACAAAACAGTCCACCTAGCGAATGTCTTAGATAAATAAAACGGACTTTTATAACTACGCGAACAATAATAATGGATTTACGCGGGTAATTACGGCTTTGGCCATTCAGCAAGATCAACACAACGTCAACTGGCACCACGTTTAGAAAAAAGGCGTAACCTCAGTAGCCCATTAAATTCATATTTACTACCATAATATTTATGAGACATAAAAAATTTATGAGAAGGTAGAAAGGCAGCAGGCATATCCTAACATCGTTCGTTTTATAGGTCACCTTTTAATTATACAAAGAGATTTATCGGCGTCTAATGAAAATCCGGAGATATTCAGTGCATTGAATACCCTAAACTACCACCTTATATATGTATACCTAAGATTTAATTAGTGGTTACGAAGTTATTCAGGTAGAGAATTCGCAGCCTATTAATACGGAAACTTTATATAAGAGAAATCTCTAATATTTGATTAATAAATTAACAGTATAACGTCGATGTGAGATAGATTAGCCGGATTAATCTTCTTAGAGTATACGTGATACGTCATTGTTTTTGATTTTATAAATTTGCATAATGACAAGGTTTCTCCTGATTTCAAGTTCTAGTGAACAAATTCTAGACACCATTTTTTTAAGCCTGGGATTTCGAGCTTCGACATTGCATATCTCAGAAGAATAGATTACATATGTTAAAAACACTTCTCAATCAACGATGATATAGCAGAACATTAAAAATCGAGAACCCCTTTTTCTGAATCTTAAAATTTCCTCCCGTAATAAAAAAATCTGTGAAAAATACGTGAATCATAATTAAACATACGATTTGGAGGTGTGTCTGCTTTATCTGTTAACTCTTTGGACATTTATTCTAAAACATCTCAATATTTATTAGTGTTATGAAAAGATGGCAATATTACATCCATATCCATATGATAATATCAATACGTTATTGTATGCTAATATGTCATGGACGTTTTCAGTAATCATAGTTTTCAATTTTCATCACCCAACCTCTTAATGTTTAACTAAGAAAAGGAAAAAGAACACTTTTGGTTCTCCTCAATCGATGATTGAATAGAGATTTAGTTTAAATCACAATGCATGGTTCGCTAAGTTACATAATTTAAAATCTAATATGTTGAACGGCCAAAAAGATATAGATCAAATGAAAATATTTGATAATAAAAATGCAATAATAATAAAATAACTTCATTTTAAATCCAATAATGTGGAGCATTCAAGATAGCGAACTAGTTATCTCATAAGTGTAAATGAAAATGTTCGTTGAGAAGATTACTATAAAATAATTAAAAATAAGAGACAGAAAATAAGAATAAGACTAAGAGTAAAAGATGTATTAATATATCCATAAATTAATGAGTAATCCATAAATGAAACAACTTTTAAACAATATGTCAATATATCCATAAATATTAAGTTTTATGAAACGAAAGAAACTTACCAGCACTTTCTCATAAGTAATGACATTTACATAAATCATGTCATTACCAAAATAGTACGTATTATAACAACAATAAATACAACTTTCAAAGTCTGTAGGACATAGGTTGGTACATATAATTAGTCGTTATAGAACAAAGCGAAGGCTATTAATTTCATTCATTGCGGTGTTTAAAATAATCATCAACTTTATAATAGCCTTTACTCATAAGTATGTTCTTTACATGAATTTTAAATATTGAGAATGCGGTCCCAGTTGCGGTAATGTCCGCTTCTGTGTTTCATCAAATGTTACGACGCAGCATTTAATGAAACATCGTAGTATTTTGTCCAACATTCAAATAACATTCAACCATGAATCTGATATTTCAATTGGATTTACGAAATATTTACAAGAGAGACGAGAGTGTAAGGTCACAATTCAATTTAATTAAATGCAAATTAGCTTTACGCTTTGAACGTTTCAAACCAATCAGACGAGATAGTACGTTCTAAAATGCTTAGACACAAATATAGAACGGAATTAAGTAAATCTATTATTTATTTATTTACTTATTCTAAACGTGCCGGGGTTTAATAATATCTGACGCAATTTGTTCCTGTCAACTTATAGGTACATACAACACTACAAGTGCCCTCCACAAGATACTGAAACGAAACTCCTTTGAAGTTATGTTACAAGCATATTTAACGAAGGTTGTATTATGTAAATAATTTATAATAATCATTAATATGGCTTTGAGAAAAAATAAGTACCAACCAATAAATTTTCCATAAACACATGCGTATTATTAGTTATAGTAAAAAATATCATGATGGAGACAATATTCGCAGAGGTATTATTATAATTTATATATTTTTTAATGTCCTGCTATATGCACTTAATAAATACTTTGTGTACTCGGGGTCCACCATGACCAGTCTCCCACAAAGACATACCTTTGCTATACTTGTAATATTTTTCTTGTAATTTAACCTTATGTTTATTTATTAATGTGTTATTATTATTTTAGCATTCGGTAAAATTATTCTTAACAAAAAATGCTTAAAAAACCCATGACCTCTCGCTATCCGGGCGACTGCTGTAAACTGACCGTGTCTCTATTAGTGCCTGAAAAATTCATCAGTCCTGTTAGGTCTTGGATAGTTCAGTGGTTGGAGTACCAATGGCAAGTAGATTTTTTAAGCATTTTATTTGATCAAATATAATACTTGTTTGTTTTATGCGGAAATATAAATGTATGGAAACTCTAGTTATACAATATTTCTTTAATTTTTGTACAGTTCTTTTTTTTAAAACACCTACATTGTCCCTATACATTAAATTTTATATTCAAATATCTAGAGCGTATCATCCTGTCCCGTAGTACTTCTATTTTCTATGAATATAAAGGGTGTCTAGAAAACTTTTCGATACCGTAAACTACTTGTCAAGTACATATTTGTCAATAACTCTGGTTATAAATAACTTCCCATCTTATTTTCATTCGAACCCGAATCCATTTCGTAAAATCCTTTTAGGCCAACTTCATATAAACACACCAAACACGAAGATATCTTTTACAATACCGTGAATGTCTAGGATGATTTATGATATAGATACTGCTAACGATAATGTTGAACTTATAAAACATATATATGTGAGGCGGGAGTGCGCTTTTTCTGTTCGAAATAGAAAACAAAAATGTCAAATATATTATAAGTCTTTACGTAATATATTTTGTTAAGTCATTCATCATCCTTATTGTGAAACATGGCGGCTCAGCACGTCTTAGTAGTTGTTTAAATCAAATCTAATCAAAATCATTTATTGAGTCTAGGCTGTTACAAGCACTCGTGAAAGTCGAAACTGTGCCATCGATTCGTAAATCCACCTTGTACCGAGAAGAACCGGCAAGAAACTCGGGCTGCTTTTTTTCGTTTGTTTTTTTTTGTGAAACTCAGCTCCGTTTTACGGAAAAAAACTACTCCGTTGTGTGTAAAATATAATTAATTACAATATTATTATAAGTAAAAAAAAAAATCAGATCCCCAAGTCGTAGAACACAGCTACTCAGCACGTATCAGAACTTGTCTAGCATCTAAAGTCTGTACTGGGTATTCGGTTATGTATACTCTTACTTCAACTTACGGAAATATCGAGCTTTAGAAAACTCTTTCACATTTTTCTCAAGATCTCTTAGGCTAATATATACATTTGTCAGTTCTGGTGTTCCCCAAAAGATTATCTTCCGTCAGATATGCACCGCCCTATAATGAGACTGTTGCATTTTAGGCCCATACTTCATTGAAGGTTCTGTTCATTTCAGGTGACAAAGGTGGAGTGCGCAAGGTGCGCGCCGCGGGGGGATGCCCGTGCGCAAGGGGCTTCTCGCGCCCCAAAACACCTTCCTAGATACTATCGCCACACGCTTCGATGGCACACGTAAGTTGATTCAAATTCATTTTATTTCCTGTATATATGATAATATGAATGAGAATTTATGTCACTTTAAATAAAAATTAATCACTGAAAATCATATCATGCGTCATTTTAGAACGATAGCATCAAATTAAACGATTCTTTATCTGTTTTTGGATCGTGTACCTTAGCACTCAGCCCTGCGATTCTGAAAATATCCAGACCCGAATTCAAAGTCACTCATGTGTCGAACACATGATTAACGTCATTTAGTGTAGAAATTATATTGATTCCATTTTTTGTATAAAAATACAAAACAAAATTAATTGAATATACGTGTCTCATATTCTATTCCTATGTCATTTCGAAAGTCACTTCACTTATGCCACGAAATTTTATTACGAGTACCAATTCAAGGTTGAGCGAATGCCACTTTTTGAAATAAATTCGGGCACTTGAGTAAATTCTGATTCAGGTTTGGATTTTCACCGAATCGCAGGGCAAGTTATAGAAATATGACATAACGAAGCCACAAGAGGAGGCAGTGGAGGCGCAAGTTTAAGTAGTGCAAAAAGAAAACTTTTCGAAAATCTTAGGTATTTCAATAAAAAAAATATATAATAAGACTAGACTATCTTAATTTTATGCAGAATGATAGTGCACATTTTTATAGCAACGAAAAAATTCGTGCGAAAAAAAAGCGTACTCTTATGGATTTTTAAAACTTTTCGCATAATTATGGCTATGAGGTGCGAGGCTCTCTTGGCCTTACGCCGCCCCTGGAAGGAGTCAATAGAGAAAAGTTCATTACCATCATTTTCCTTGCCAGCAATCAACAATAGCATGCGTAGCATGACTAACTCGAGAACGTTTTGTCTACACCCAAATATCACTTATCTCAGTTGCATCATACGATATCTCACTCTCAACTGGAGAAAAGTGACATACGGTGTAGATAATGCGTTTCTCGACTTTGTCATGCGAAGCCTGCTAGGGTTAATTGCCGGTGAGGAAAAAATTTTTTTTCACTATTGCATCATTGCGGCGTTCTCTTATACCGGCGAGTGGTAGTAGTGTTTGGTAGATTGGTATACTATAATCGTTTAGTTAATGAAGACCTTATTTAGTCATCTGGTATGACTTTATACTCGTTAAACGAGAGACGACGCCTAAAAGGCCTTGTACATGTCCCACCTGCGGTGCGGTAAAACGTAAACATTGTTTGCCGTCCGAAGGGTGTAACTTTTTGTTTTAGTATAAAAAAAATGGATAAATATAAATCTAATGTGTTATTAATCCCTAGTTTTGAATGGTGCGGCTTAATAAGCCGCCACGTGGCCACAATGTACAATTTAAAAAGTGATGTAAAATGCCTCGTACTGCAATAAAAGGACATAGTTATACTATCAAAACTAATAAAAAGCACGATTGAAAGTAACGCACTAAATAATAGTATCTACAGATTTACAATTGTAATTTTATTTAATTAACAGGAAACATTTCTAATGAAATACCAATCAAAAAAGAAATGAATGAACGTTTGAGAGTACTTGTTTATTATATTGCCGTGAATTTCATCCATATGAACGGTGATCTATCTTATTATTCGTTTAATAGAACAATTTTTGGACCGGTTAACAGGTATATTAAAAAGTAGTACTAAAACAACACTTCATTTAAAAATGCGGCTTCATACGGGAACCAAAGCTATAACTATGTACTATAAAACCAATACGCACTGTTATACGATCGGTTTAAAGCTTAGCTCGGTCATAATCAATCCGCTTGCGTAAACTAAACGTCGACAAGAGTTTTTTTTTTTATTACGATGATCATTACTTAGAAAAGAGGACTTTTTTACGGCCCAATTCTTTTGCCACAATCATTTGCGCTCGCGGCGCGGTAGCTGACTTTCAAACATCAAACGAAACTATCGAATGTCAGGGACGTCATTAAGGCCATGTTGTAATACGGTGCTCAATCGCATAAAAATTCAAACTTTAGTTAACATTTACTAAATAACATTCCGAATATAGTTTTTTTTGCCTAAAAGATAAAAAAAAAATCTTAATGAAAAATGCTTAAACAATCCAATTTGTCCCTGGCACTTTGAGATCGGACTCGAACTCATGGCCTATAGCAATCCGGGCGACTGCTCTAACCACTGAGCTACCCAGGACCTAACAGGACTAACGAATTTATTCAGCACTTGTTACTTTTTGCTACTACATAGCGTATTTTCATAAATCACCTCAGAGTGCCAGGGATTTTTTTAGACATTAAAGATGAAATACTTTATACGATTATGTACAATACCGTTATAGTAAAATTAATTAATACTATTGATTTGCTTGTAATTGTACAAATATTGTAATTAAGTTACAAAAAATTCATGGTTTTTAAAGCTTGTAATAATACTATAAAAGCTAATAATAATTTTCAACATAAACATAATAATATATAATGCCCGAATAAAGAAGTTTTTTTTATGATAAACATATTTTATAAACTAATGCATGTGGAAATGAGACTAGTAAATAAATGTATCAACCGCTTCTAACCTAAATTGCCTAGGGAAATTTCACCATTTATATGTCCACTGATATATGAGCGTCATATTCAGCTATACATATTATTATAACAAAGTAGAATAGTACAATTGACAGAATATATGATTACTACAAAGGGTTATTTTTGTCATCCAATTGTAAGCCTTAATCAGAAGAAGTTAAGTACAAATTTAACTTGTTATAGTAATATTTTGTGATATTCAGATTTAATATCAACTCTCACATTGTTTCCTCTTAATCAATCTATTAATATCCCCAATGATAGGTCACCGGTCATATTCATGAAATTGAGCCGAATAGGGAAAATGGGCCTGACCTATGTAACATTTTCCCATTTTCCCCACGCTGAGCTTGCATAGGCTATGTAATACATAAGCTATGTAACATAAGAGCCCACCGCGGGTTAACCATAGCAGATGCAGTCGGAACCAGCTATTCAATGTGCCTTCCAAGGCACGGAGGTGCTCGAGATAATAATTTTTGGTCACCCATCCATGTGGGAGCTAACTTAATTCCCCATGGATCCAACATGGTTTACTTAAGAACAAATGTTCTCGTTATTTGTTTTGTTTTTATGGCGGTCAATACAATCTACAAGGTAGAAAAGTGAAGGAGCTAGTCCTTTGCTTACCCTGTTGTGTTCCTAACACATTATGCAAAACAGAGGGATATTATTGTGATTCATGGAAAAATTTCAAATGTGTTTTCATAATTCCAAATACACTTGAATAATAAATGTTGAATCACATAATAAAAGGGAGATAAAAGGCCCCAGTCCGCTGAGTTTTTGTTGGTTTTCTTTACAAGGCCAACCGTAGGATACAATGGCGTAAATTGATGTTAAAAAAATGTATTATAAATCTTATATTTTCAATAATGAAAATATCCGTAACCTTTCATATGTTTTGTGTTTATGAAATTTAATTTACTAATTTAAATGGAAATTTAGAAGCGCATTTTCATTTTGACAAATAAATATATTTTCTATATAAATATTATAAAGAAGAAAGATTTTATTGTATGTTTGCAATGAATTAGCTTCTTTATATTTATTGCTTACAGGATGTTAAATAAAACATGTTACAAACGTATATTAGTATCTTTAAATGTGCATTGTAGTTATTTGTATTTTAGGCAAATGAAAGATATTCTTGATACATTTTTACATAATAAGAGGGTAGATAATTACTCAACATTTGCGTCTGCTGTAATTTTTTAATGCAACGTACCGTTATATGAATGTTTGAATATAGATATTCCTTAGTTCATAATAGAGCCACAGAAGTAGGTACTATCTACTCTTTCCGCCATGCCTTCGTGAACATTGTAACAATTTGTAACACACACGTCGATTATTTGCGTTCAGTGATGTGAACTTCATCGAAATAATTGAAACAGGTATTTTTACTAAAAGGATTAATATAGGAAAACTACTACATCCACTCGTTACAACCTGATTTTTTTTAAAAGAAGGCAGTCATGTATCACCTCATTGCTGTTAGCGGCCACACAGCTAGCAAGCTAGAGAGCTTCCGGTGCGGTCCCGGTGATTCCCTTGTGCTGGCAAATTTGGAGGCCTCACGAGTACGAGCGAGTGGGGTATGGCTCTGTGTGTAACAGCCATTCTTCTCTCTTATCAGATTAGGTAACTAAACGGCAAACCAGCTAAAGATAAAGATATGCTCAAGAGCACGCAGAAGATTTCGCAAAATTTTATTTTTTATAAACCAACAAACTTCTTACAGGTTATCCTGCAACTATGTTTTGTTTCCTGTATTTTTTTCAAAATGTTAGCTGCAATAGTTTTGGTGATCGAAGAGAGGGTCAATTACCTTTAATTTATTTAAGTTATACGGCAATTTTCGGATCAATCGGTTCTCGATGTATTCGAATAACATCGGTGTCTCTATCTATGGTAGATGGATAGACAGATACACAAGTGATCCTAAAAGGGATCCCTTTTTCCTTTTTTGATACGATGTCCTAAAAAATTGGTCTTCTAACAACATTGTTATGTAGGTATAAATTGTAACCATGCAAAGATGCATGCGGGTTACTAGTTTAATTGCAAAGCAAATGCATTTAGCAAAAAAATAAACATAAATGTTATTTAGATAAAATTGTTTCCATCATTGTCTGCACATTTCTTTCTTCCAGTTGGAAAATCAATCTGAACTCTATAGTTAATGAAAGTATTTTGTACGGCTACTTGGAAAGAAAATATTTTCAGTGCAAATAATTGGGGTGACGACGGGCGAGTACGAGATGACAAATGGTTTCTACCTGCAGCTCGTGTAGCATGACGAACCCGAGAACGTTTTGTCTACACCCCAAAAGTCACTTTCTCCGGTGCGATCGATATATCACTCTCGACTGGAGAAAAGTTACATTTAGTGTAGACAAAGCGTTTCTCGAGTTTGTCAAATTATGCGTGCTGCAGAGCGACGGTCTAAC